TAATTTATATAATAATAATAATAATAAATTTTTATATAAATTAATTATAAAAAATATATGTACGTGCGGGACCGTCCTTTGGGATAATCGAAGTCCGTTAGAGGAAGAAAGATACGCGCCGCTCGTTGTGGACTTCCCGTTGACGCTATTATTTTATTATTCCCCTACGCATTGGCTGGCTGACCTCAGCCGAATTGATTGCTTATAAAATTTACATTTTATTTTATTTTTTAATATTTACTTGTGAAATAAATTAATTTAATAAAAAATTTATTTAATTTGTGTCTTAAGTATATAGGTTGAAAGCACTTAATTTTTAAAGTCAACTGACATCTTATCAGTTTGAGATGCATTTCTTATCTTTTTGGGGGTTTCGAATCCACCCTTAACAATTTATTCAAAAAAAAAAAAGTATATAGGTTGAAAATATAATAAATATATTTTTTTATAATTAATTTATATAAAGATAATAAAAATTGATTTTTATTAATTTTATATAAATTAATTATAGAAAATATATTTATTATATTATTAACTTATATTCTAAAAATACAAAATAAAAAAAATCTTTTAGGAGGTACTCTATTAATTATAAACTTTTTTATCTATTTTGCTTAGTAACTATTTTTTACACCTAACTACTTTATTAACTTGGTTAAATCTCCAATTTGTTCCCTAAGTTATTGTATATTTGTATAGATCTTTTATTTGGTTCCTAAACTAAAAATTCTTTTGATTTGGTTTCTAAATTATCGTACAGACCTTTGATTTGATCATACTATTTACCAATTTACCCTAAGTTGGTCATTCTATATAAAAATCAAATTGACGTATCATGTTATTAATATGATACGTGACTGTTAAATTATTATTTTTTGTCGTTAAATTACTTTTTTTTGCCATTAAGTGACGAACGTATCAATTGTTTTTTCTATTGAAGAATCAATTTAAAACAAATTAATAAATAATATGAAGCAAATTAAAAGTCTGTATAATAAATTAAGGACTAATGAGAAATTTCGTACAACCACCAGGGATCAAATTGGGGTTTAACCTCTTAACTTTTAAAAATATACTAAATTAGTCTAACCAGTAAAGCTCCGTCAGTAGG